TTCTGGCATGTAGAAGGCCGCAGGCTCCTCAGAAAGTACATCTTCCACGTTCTGAAGTTGGCCCAACAGTTCCTCTTCGCGCATCATCTCGACATCCAGTCCTTGAAAGTTATATCTCCGTCTGAGCGTCATTATTAGTCGGCTGAGCCCACAGGGACAGGTCGCAGAACTGCAGCTGCCGGCTTCCTACATTTGAATTGCTCCCGTACACTGCTTGATCAATAGCTGCGGCCGGCATTGCCTTGAAGCGAGATAGGGAGACCGCGCTGAGTGCCGTGGCTTTGGGCGGATTGGATGTTAATATGTGCTTCGGGCTCACTCTGAAAGTAAGTTTACAAGAGAGAAAAGTGCGTGGTTGCCTTGCCCCAGTGAGGGTCCCAAAGCTATAAACGTGCCAAAAATCGATAACGCAGGCGCTAACCACATGCTCTTTCTAAAGTCTGGACTGGGGTCAGCGCAAAAGCGTGGAGTTTGACGCACATACCTTTTTAGTCCTGATTCGAGAGAAAGACTATACTACAGGAAATCATGGCTTAAAGAACTGATTTTCCGGAAAGTCAAAGTGTCGCCTATAAGTTAAGAACGGCACATTTTACAGTAATAAAACTAGAGAAGTTACAAACAACTTCCGTAACTGTAGTTGTATTCAATGTGTTGTGATGCGACTAGATGGTAGATGTGGCAATAAACTACGTGAATAGGAAAGCTGACTGGTAATGCCACAACACAACTGCGCTGCCAATAAAGAAAGGACAGTATGGTGAGTGCTGCATGCAACGTGCAAAAGATTGTAAAAGTTTGATCCTTACTCGCATACCGGCGTGAACGCATTCAAGAAAACTTAGAAATAATGATGAGCAGCATTAGGTATAAATAAGGAGCATTTACCGAAAAAATAAGCTTTTGTATATTAGTTCTCATGAAGAAAGCCATGCGGGTCATATTTAGAAATGCTTCAAAACAGTAAACCACATTGTCGAGCATAAAGAACTTCCGCAAGATAACTCGGATATTATTATTCCTAAGATAAATTAAAAAAAACTTTCCATAATAGGTCACCCCTTTAAAAAGTGTTTTTATTGGATATTCAGCTGACGAATTTCTGTGTATATCAACTTTTTCGAAGGTAATATCACAATGAAATTTGAGCATGTTGACATTTTTTAAATTTACCTGAAGATAAACTATTTAATTTGGCTGGAGATGAAAGAACCTACTTTTCTCTTTATAATGGGTTATTTTCCGCATAAGTGGATTTATTCCACGATCTGTTATAAGCTTGCGAATAAGAAAAACTGGCCATATATGTGACCATTTTTTGAAATACTTATTATTTTTCTGCCCCTTCCGTTTCTATATAACGCATAAGCGGAACTTATTGTTGACAAAAAAACTATATTTCCACATGAATTACATTCAATAACGCCTCCTTTATATTACCTTCGCGGTAGCATATGCGGACACTTTGCTTAAGCGGCAAGGTGAGCGGTGCGGTTTAAAACAAAAGGCGACAAAAACTTCTGGTTACTGCATTTTGTGCAAAAAACTACACAGGTTAGCTAAACAAAATTTTCAAAACTAAAATTGTTGCTTGTTACTGAAAATAAATGCGATTCCTTAAAGCTGGCTTCACTTCAATTTGAGCAACTTCGGACAACATCTTCCAGTTCTGGAAGAGATAATTCTTCCACTTTTTTTACTTATTCCAGAGCTCTTCCATAGCACAAGGCATATCAATAAAACGTTTGGTTCTATCATACCTTATAGCGTAGGGAAGTCCTTCAATATAAACCTACTCATGACTTAGCCAAAAATAGTGCCTATTTCGCTCCATAACTTTAAATAAGAGGGCATTCTTCCAAACTAAAGCCTTTCTTATTATAAAATCCACTCAGTTGATCACAATAATTTATCCAAATGTATGCTTAACTACCAAGTTAAATTTCCTCATTGCCTTTTGCCGTCATCGGGATAAGACATATCTGAGGAGAGGTTGGGAAGTTCGGTCCAACATAAATGCAGTACAAAGCGTCTTACAGATAGACCGAATACTTAAAAGGAGGATATTATCAGGATAAACATTTATACCTGTACTTGAATGCATGATAACCATTCTGGGCCTGTCTAGTAGCAGTATGGAGTTCGAAACTTCGCTCAAATTCACGTTTGGCATCCAAGGGTTTGAAGATTGTTCTTTTTGTTACGCTGTTTATGTAGCTGACCGAATTAACAAGATTGGCTATTTGGCAACTCTTTATGGCGATGCATAGGACTGCTTAACACATTAAGATGTAAACATTTCTGTTTGCTATTTCTCTTCTCAGTTACCACTTAAAATCAAGTTGAGTTGTTTGACGGAGAGAAGCACGCATGTAGCTTTTAATTGAATTACATATGTTGATGTCGGCTAAAATATACGGTTCAGAATTAAGGCAGAGTAGGAGCTCCACGCAAAATTCCACGAAGGGTAACTATTTCCGTGTTCTAGCCATAACGCCAACCGAACTTTAAAATCAAATACTAATCCTAACACTAACGCTGACAGTGACGCTTAATTCTTTAGCAAAATGGGATTTCTAATCCCGTTACTCGCGGTTCAGATTGTAAAGGAGAGGACAGTCGAAGGAGCTATATATGTTAATTCATTTGAAATTTCAGCAACAAGCGACACGTTCTGTGTCCAGTGCGTGTTGCCCTCGCACTGCAATATTTGACGCTGCGGTGGGGAATTCTGCCACAGGACTGAGTGTGGACTACATTCGCCAACCGCCTGCGAAGAATTGAACTGAGATGGAGAAGTTATAGCGGTCAAAGCTTCTCCTCCTCACCCCTCCCCTCCACAAGAAGGTGCGAGCACGGTCATACCAATGTTAGCAGAGCGGGGGAGGGGGAGGCGTCGTGGACTGGGGACCTGCACACGCGACATCATCATCTGCAGAGGTGTCAACTTTCACCAGCCCAATTAGCGTTACTCCTGTCCACACCTGTGTTTTCGGTTTCCTCCTGTCGGGGTGTTCCGGATGGCCTGATAAGACCCCAGGGGAGGCAGCTGACGACTATTTTATTACTCGGCTCGTGCTCCAGACCGCAAGTTGTCTGGTCTGCACTACCTCGGTTAGGCATTTCGGCATCCACAGGCACGCAGGTGTATTTGCAGGTTATACAAGAAGAGATAGTGCGCCAATTTTTTTACTACTGCTTTAGATTTCGCACCTAGTCGCACTGTCAGTCATCCTTTGGGTCTCTCTGAAGGATCACAACCCACGAGACAATTTATCACATTTTCCTGCATGCCAGGACGTAAGTGGGTCTCACTATCTGTTCGCGAAAAACAGAGTGACACCGATTTACTACCCAACATAGAAAACGACTGACTGCTTCAGACCCGTTACGGATGGATACGTCTACAGTGACTGCAGTGACGCCTAACCCACCTCTTTAGCACCGGAACGTGAACGGATGACTCGGAGTCGTTGATGCGAGACCATATCAGTTACCACTTGTAGATAGTATGAAGCACAATGTCAAAACAATTTTCGAGGCTTTAGAAACGACAGAGCCATAGTGAAATAGTTTAAGATTCTCTCTCTCTCTCTCTCTCTCCGCATCCTTATCTTTTCTCTTCTTTAACCTTTGTTGCAGTAAATTTTATCCCTTAAACGATTTGTTCGCACTCGAGAGTTTATGCCTGAGATTCCGCACACATCATTTTTTGCATATATACTCCCTTTTAGCATAAACTGTCAACTGCCAATAGAAGCGAACATGCGTGTCCCAGGAGGCAATTGAGAAGAAGAAGACTCGATCGCTGGGACAATATGTTTATTCGCCTGACGTATCGACATCCATCGCGGATTCATCATCAGAGACATAAGTAGGAGACAGTAGCAGAAAAGGGTTATGCATGCACAGAAGTTTGCAGTATTTATAGGATACAGTAATTACTGCAAAC